GAGCCAGGCGCTCAAGGTCAGCAGATAAGACATCTGGGCTACTAAATCTTCTACCCAACCTCCCATTATCCCCCATATTAAACTCTATATCTGATAGAATACTAACAGGATTCTAACACTGACTGAGAAGCTCACACTTCCAAGTTTTGGTTACAAGAATATCAGCTGTAGGAGCATTCAGCTGAAAGATGGATACAAAGATCAGCTTTTTTATTGCCTGGATCTTTTCTCCTATTGAAACATCTTGCCTTGGCTACAACAAGAAGGATATTTTATGGGTTGGTGCCTAGAAGCCTTGTTGGTTTGTCCTGATCTCACCATCAAACTTCATTTCAATGGAATACATTGTCTATACTGTACTGGATGGAGATGGTGTGCTAGTCTTCATTATATTACTAAATATTATTATGTAAATGGCTATATATATAGACATCCATGCACCACCTAAATTTTGCATAAACCAAGAGAACAATTCATTCTAGAGTGAAATCATCAGTGATGTATTCAAGTCTTTTACTCTAAGTCCCAAATCAAGCCACAAGTGTCTACCTTAACGTCTCGAGTCTAAAGTACTCACAAGATACTTTCAAGTTGAGCCTCAAATCTAGGAGCCAATTTTTAACAGAAAAATAAAGGTGGGGCACATTTCATGGAGGGGAACAGCAAGCATGTTAAGCAATGGGCATGAGCTGGGGTTTGAGTATGCTTGGCAGCCTGTTCCCACTACACATCAGAGGAGCCTTCTAAAGCTATTCAAAAGGATCCTTTTAGAAGGATCCTTCTTCCTCAAGTCAGTTGCCCAACACATTTGCTATTCCTCTCTGATAAATGTGCCCTATACTCTGGAGACTGGTTTTGCCTGCTGCTAAGAGTGAATGACCCTAGCAAGTCGGATGCTAAAAATATACAAATCACAAGTCAAGTTAATGCATCATTTATTGCTGAGTCAAGTCCAAGTTGAGTTATTGAAGAGACATGAGTCCAACTTAAATCCGAGTCAATCGTCTTGAGTACATCACTGGAAATCATAAGGTCTTGGATCATGCTGCTCACATTACAATAATCTAAATCCTATTATTAGGACCTTTACAGACTGCCAGAAATAGTGCAGCTTGAGGCCACTTTAGCTGTCCTGGCTCAGTGCTAAGGAATCATGGGAACTGTAGCTTATTGTGGCACCAGAGCTCTCTGGCAGAGAACACTCAATGTCCCAGGAAAAAAAATACAATTCCCGAGATTCCCTAGCACTGAGCCAAGATAGTAAAAATGTCCTCAAGCTGCATTATTTCTGGCAGTCTGTAAAGGCCCTGAGTCTCCACTAGAGTAGACCCATTAAATCAATGTGATTTACCTATGTGTTCACTCATTACACAGCAATTGATTCAATAGGTATACTCTAATTCAGACTAACCTAATATCACCATGTAATTTTCATGCAGTTATCTATAAACTGATTACTTGTTTTTATTACCAAATTATCAGTTAAGCATATACAGTTACATCTATATAAACTGTGGTTGACTTCTTCATAAAAAATGCTTTTGACTCTTTATGGTATTTACCTCTCTCTGTGTGACTACACATATGTTCATGTATATATACATGCACAAGCACATGCTTCCAGATTCAACTTTTAGGGGGGAAATATCTTTTCAAGTTTCTTGTAATTTAAATGTTATGGCATTTTAATTCTAGTTAAGACACCTTTTTTTCAATAAATGTAATTTATTTTTTCAATAATAATTACCTGTATCTTTTATAATAAACACACCTTCTTCTGATAATGCATCACTTAATTAATTATTAAATCTGTATTTTCTTTATCCAAAGTCTTAAATGCTATTTTTGTATGTTTTGTTTTAATTTAGCCACGTTTAATGAGAGGCCCATAAACATAATCACTGCAAATCCAGAAGTACCATCAGAATTATAACAATCCTAAATTTGTCCTATATTTGTGATTCATGATCTTTCCCCACCTGAGCTATATTAATATTAGAACTATATAAACTTATTTTATAAATATTGTATATATAACATATACATTCTAGAGAGCCATTGTGGAATAGTGGTATGAGCATTAGACTATAACTCTGGAGACCAGGGTTCAAATCCCCACTCAGCCATGGAAACCACTCAGCTTTGGCAGGTCACACACTCTCAGCCTCAGAGGAAGGAAAAGACAAACTCCTTCTAAACAAATCTTGCCAAGAAAACCCCATGATAGGGTTGCCATAAGTCAGCAATGACTTGAAGGCACACAAGAACAATATTCTGAAGAACAGCAATGTTAGCTAGTGATGGCAAAAGGACTGAATGTGCTATGACGTTTTAAAAAACATATGGCTACATGTGGCATTCATTCTCATAGTACTCCACTAGATCCTTGGCACAACAGTGGCATCCTGTTGTCAGATTTATCAAGGGAGATAGTGGGCAGAAGACCTAGGGTTTTCTGTTATAATTTCTCCCAGGCCATCTATCCTTGGGAAGTCTTGAGAGTAGGATTACCAGGTTGAAACAGTAATTGTAGAGAAGAGAGAATTTCAGTTGCTGGCATGCAAACTCCACAGGCTAAAATTCTCTCTTTTACACAGTTATTAAAGCATCAGTAACCCTGTCTCTGATTTCACCTGGCAACCATACCTGACAAGTAGTAGCCTCACAGTACTGGCAAATCTTTCTGTTACACAGTTATTTCACCCAAGGGTTGTTTTGTCACTATACCTATGCACTCCCTATCTCTTCTGTTAAAAAAGTGGGTACTGAGATCAAGGAAGTGTGTCAGGCCAAGGACTGATCTGGGGCTTAGTACATTTAGCATGAAGGAAAAAAGACTGAAAGGTGACATGATTGCTATCTTTAAATAACTGAACAGATGTCATGTAGAGGATGGACTCACTTTGTTTGCTGTTGTCCTAGAGATTACAACATGAACCAAAGGATTCAGATTACAAGAAAAGAGATTCCACCTAAACATTAGAAATAACTTTTTTTCACTGTGAGAGCTGTTCAGCAGTTGAACAGACCATCTCAGAGGGTTGGTGGACTCTTCATTTTTGAAGGCCTTGAAGCAGAGGTTGATGAGTATCTTTGTAGGGGTTCTGTAATTGTATATTCCTGCATAAGGTTGGATTAGATGGCCCTTGTGGTCCTTTCCAGTTCTATGGTTTTATGGTCATCATACTCTGTGAAGCCTGTTATTCTCTGCAAATGTCATATGGGCATTCAATTTTTATTACTCCTGAGGGAGGCCTGGCAACTTGAAGCTTAAGTACATTCACTAGTTATATCTGGAGAAAATCTAGATTGTAGGAGATCAGTTGGCCCCTCCAAAATTCTTTCGACTAGCCTAATGGGTCTCATTCATTGGTCTCTCCCATTACTAATTAAAAGATTACTAAGCATTCACTAGATGTCCAACATTGTGACTGTTCTACACAACTTGGATCCAGAATCCTTTACAAAAGTGTAAGGCAATTTTAATTGTGCAATTAATTGAAGGATCAACATTTTTGCCAGTTCTCCATCTCAGTTACAACTCCTCAGATCAACTCCTATGGGACTTGAGACCTTCGGGAATTGCTTTTCAGAGATTGCAAGGATCTCCAGTAGAAAGAGATGAATAAAAAACCTTTAAGAACTCTGGCTATGGTTTTATCGATCAAAACTTTGGGATTTATTAAAATTTCCCCCCTCCAAACCACTTTCTTTAAAAAAATATTATGCAGATAAGGAAAACAGTTTACTTGTTATGTCCCACTAAAAGCAACTGGACTTTGCTTCCAAGAAATTCAGTTAAGATTGTGGTGTAAACCCCTATATATATGAATGATGAAAGAAACAGTTATTTCTACCATGGAAGGGGGAAAATGTTGGTTACAGGCTATCATCTCAGTGAGAATATTTATTTAGTGAAATATAGAACTTTTCCACCACTTCAACTATACTTTTATGTTTTTGTTTATGTGGCTGGCTCCTTCAGTCTTTCCAATCTGAGTCCTGTAGTTAGTTGAAAACTCTCTCTTTGCAAGAGTACTGAAGATCGTTAATATCAATAAGTCTTACTGGGTTGCAAACACTTGTAACTGCTTGTATTGACTTCCATTACATTTCAATAATCCTCCTTATATCTAAATGGAAGTCATTAATTTCCATTAATTAAGCCATTTCAGCATTTGCCATGGTGGCAATTAGGCACAAAACTGCCTTTTTGGAATCAATGGAAATGAAATGCAGATAACACACACTGCATTTCTGCATTTCATTTCCATTGATTCCAACAAGGCAGTTTTGTGCCTAATTGCCACCATAGCAAATGCAGGTTCACCATAGGGTCTCTATTTAACACCAACAGAGAGCCACACATACTAATTAATCTTCTATTTGAATAAGTGACATTTATTATGAATCAGTAGGAGGAAACAGTGGTACCCTGAGACTGCAGTGCAAATCAATGATCCCTATGCAACTCAATCAGGGCTGCCTGAACACTTTGAGAGGCTTGGAACCAATGGTTAATTTAAGTATCGTCAGTGGACATATTGCAAAACTTTTGTGGGACATGAACAAATTGCATTAAATGAAGGCTCCAGATGATACAGTTCTTCCCTTTGGTTTTCTCCAACTGCTTCTACATGCTTTCCTGAACATTTTAATTTTTCAATAGAAGGTTTTCTAATCATTTGGGCACCATTAGTGTCACTATTTTCAGTTTGCAACATCTGGTCCTTTCACAAATATTAAGAACCTAGATATTATCAAAACAACTAAAAAATCAAAGGCAACCTTAATGGGGGGGGGACCCATCTCCTCAGTTTCAGATAAAGAACTGATGATTTTATGAAAATGTTTTTCCCCCCTATTATATTCTGTTCAGAATATGAATGGGTATGATGGCACAATTAAGATTGTGTTTTAAGATGAACAGTCGATGCCTTAATGATATGAGACTAGGTGACTACAATGTATTCTCTGCTGGCCTTTTTTTCAATTGTTCATAGCAATTATAGCCAACTTGATTACTGGGGAAAGCAATATGGAGCATCCAGTTCAAAGTGCTATTTTTGATCATTGAGGTCTGAAAATATTCTAGACCCAGGATATTTATGAGGCCACCTTTGTTAACTACTTGCATACTAAGATATTCCTCAGAGGTCTGCCACTATATTCCTTCATACTCTGAGGCACAGTGGATGGTTCCTCAACCAGGACAGAGCTATCTTGGTAATAGCACTGATACTGAGGGATTCTTGTTCTGGAAAGGTTAATTCTGCTCCAAGCCCAGTAAACCTGATAGCATTTTTGGCATATAATGATTTAAATAATGACTTTCTAAAAACAATTCTATTTTTTTTAAACTGTTTAATTTGATTTTCCTCATGTTTGTTCTGCTCCAGGCCCAGTAAACCTGTTAGCATTGTTGGCATATAATGATTTAAATAATGGCTTTATAAAAACAATTCTAAATTGTTTGAAACTATTTGATTTTACTTGTACACAATGATAGAGGGTAAGATATACATATTTTATTAAATAATTTAATAAATGATTAAAGCAGTTATTCAAATATATATATTTATTGAATTATTTCCATGTTTTAAGACCCAGATTTAGATACTGGCATCACTTCAGAGCCAGCATAGTTCTGTGGTGTGGGCGATGTCCAGGACCCTTTTGTCTAGTCATTCCTTGCACAAAGGGAAGAAGAAAAGCTGGTTCTCTGTGGCCATTTTGACAGGGTAAGTTTTTAAACTTTTTAAACTGTGAGTCACTTCTGTGGGTCACTGGGGAGGCAGAGGTAGGAGCCTAATTCTATATAACTGCTGGCAGTCAAGAAGGATTTGGAGTACAGAGGAGAAGGTGACCTGGAACAGTGTTTGCGGGGTTCACCTTTAATTTTTCATTTTTTTATTCACTTTTTTCCTTAAGGGGATTGTGGGAACTTTTGCCCAGATAAACAGCCTTTGCAGACTGCCAGAAATAGTGCAAATTGAGTCCACTTTAACTGCCCTGACTCAGTGCTAGGGAATCATGGGAACTGTAATTTATTGTGGCACCAAAGCTCTCTGGCATAGAAAGCTCAATGTCTCAGAAAAAAACTACAGTTCCCATGATTCCCTGGCACTGACCCAGGACAGTTAAAGTGAACTCAATTTGCACTATTTCTGGCAGTCTGCAAAGGCCCAAAGTTAGTCAGAGACTTGCCTCTGGAAGGACCTAGTAGCCAGGAGCTCTCTAGATAACCACAAGGGATATCGTGAAGCTTTAATTATCACCTTTTAAAAAATTTAACAGAAAGTTTGTTTTGATTTGTAGTTGTTGACTTATCCCTACATAATAACCAGTAACCTTGCCGGATCGAGGCCATGGCAATCACATTCCACAGCCCTGATCTGGCCTTTCCACGGTGCAAAAAGAAGGTGTAAAAAGCAGCTGTTTTTTGCACTGCAGAAAGGGTGCCCTACTTGCGGTGGCAGCAGCTATTTGCCGCTTCTTCAGTGTAGCATGTGTAAAGATGCACCTTTTTGCCACCCACCATGTGGTTGCTTCAGCAGCCTAACAGTGGCATCAGGGCAGAGTCGGGGGGGCGGTCACCCCGCCCCAACTCTACCCGCAGGCTGGCCCTTGTGATCAGTCTGTACAGGCCCTTAGTCTGTTCACAAAGCAAATGAAATCTAAAAAATAAAAATAAACAAGATAACATTTCCAAAAGGTCTAGAGAGGAAATGTTCAACATTTTCTGACTTTATTACGAGTTACTTTAAAGAAGGTATAACCACAGAACTGACAATCAAGATTTTCATACTATTTAGAAAGAATGCAAATCCATGCTCATGGAGTGCTTTTGCTAGAACTGTTATACCTTCTTCACGTCTGAGTTCAGTTTAATGGAGATAGCATAAGGGTAGAAGAAGCTAGAATTGTGCAGATTTTTTTTCAAGAAGCTAGTAGAGTGAAGTACAGTATAGTATAGCATCCAATGCAGCATTACACATAAAATAGGGACATGGAATGTGAGAAGCATGAGACAAGGGAAGTTAGACATAGTAAAAAAAGAAATGGAACACATGAACATAGCCGTACTTGGGGTAAGTGAGTTAAAATGGACAGGAATGGGCCACTT